TGTAGTCAGAGCTATTAAAAACCAGGCTATCAATGTGTCTGTCGTAAGTTAACATTAACTCAGTTAACCTGGATGACCTCTTCGGCAGTTGAGCGCTATTTAATTTATTCTTCCTCCTGCCTGCCAGATGAGTGGTTGCAAACCTAAAACAGAATCCTGGTATCTACTTCACTTAATTGCTCAATACCACAGTATTTCAAGTATTTCATAACTTGCTTGTATTGCTGCCCTCTGCTCCCTCTACAGGACTTCTGTCTGTTGGAGATGTGCTGCATCAACATTATCATCCCCGAGGATACATGTCAGTCTGTCAAGTTGGAATTTATCTAAAGCCTTCTCAAAGTCAGCAGAGAAACACAGAGAGAAATCCATTTGTACCAATGTGTAACGTCTGAGGCTTAGGATTGCTTACTTCCTCCTGTCTCCTGAACATAACTGATAACAGGCTGACTGCTATCCCTTTTTCTCAGACTGTTGCTCTATGTTCCTTCAAGAATTTAAAAGAATTTTAAGTACCTAGTTTATCAGATAGATAGCTCAGTGTCAATCACTGTTCATAGCATTAGGAATTACTATGGAAGAATGTGGATCTGTGAAGCTTTCCTCCAAAGTGTCCTGCACATAGCTGGTAATAAAGTTTCAACTATTTGGTTTTTAACTACTACAAGGCTATGGCACTTCATCTCTAATACCACCCTCTTCTCTTATACCCTTTACTTTCTAGGTTCTAAGTCAGAACTATCAGCCCCTCTCTATGAGTGTCTATCCCCAGGCTTATAAGAAGAAAAATTTTAAAGCTCTGTTCTGCATTCTTACCTGTCTTTCCAGAGTATTTTTTTCCTCTGCAGCATATTTTGTTGGTTTGGATTTTCATCTGGCTAACCCTTTTTTATTCTCCAGAAATCTCCTGGTGCCCAAGTAAGGGGGGTTGGGTTCCCTTGCACTTCTGGCTTTGTAATAAAATTTTTTAATTCCTTCCTTCTCCTACATTTCTTCCACAGTTTCCATAATTTTCAGAATCCTGTCAGTACCTTTATGGCTGCTTAGCTTTGTATCTTTTCATTTACCCTCACAATGAGGTGGTTTTATATTCCAAAATTCAGAAATACCTTCAGGTTTTTTCTGCGTTTTTACTCTCTTCTGTTTAATGAATCTCCCCTTTGAAGTCTATTACTCATGTTTGTTGCATTTTAATTTCAAATCTACCTACAAATAATTGAAATTTTCTGTTTTACATTCTTTCAAATTTAACCTCCGCTAGAGAATCTGGTGGTCTCACAAAGAGAATGAAGCTTTGATATTGCAATATATTTGATTTCTTGCAAGACCAGCTTTTCTGTTCAGCTGGGATGATGCTGAAACAAGACATTCTAGGTAACAGGAACATGTCTATTGTTTGCAAATTGAATCAACTTGTTTTCCTTTTTACTCTTAAATACAAAGCTGGAAATTGCCAATGACACTATCCATACAACTGCTTAACTTTCAGGCACTGCAATCAAATTCTCCCAGCCCTGCCTCTCTTTATCTGCTACAGTACTTATAGCCCAGGTTTTGGGGGTTTTTTTCAGTTTGGTTTGGGGTTTTTTTTTGTTTTTTTTTTTTTTTTCCCCCTCAAAATACTGTGTAGTATCTTAATTCACTTAAAAGTACTATATCATAAAGATTTCCTGGTTTTAAATGTTTCATTTCTCAGAGTTCCATACAGGTATGTTTTCAAGTGTTTGTTCTCCTCTGATGTTTTTGAAAGCTGTTTGATTTATTTTACAATTAATATTTATACTCCATGTGGTATTCTTCACTCATTAATTCTGCACCCATATTTTGCAAACCAGATTTTACAGAAGGGAATCACTAACTTACACCAGTTTCTACAGATGGATAATTAACCCCAAACTAGTAATTAAAAAATCATATTAAAAAACCCAAAGCCCATTTTCCTTCAGTTTTCTTGGAAGTGTCTCTTGAGTTTGAGTACAGAAGAAGGTTTAAAAAGTTTCTGCATAATTGTGGAATTCCACTAGAAAAAAAGGAAATTAAGAAAGTTAAAGAATAAGAAAGTTCAGTGTGATGATTCATTTGATCCTCTAAATGACTGCAAAATTTTCTAGAACTGCTAAAATAACACAGTTTCCTTCACTGACCTCATCTGATATTGCTCAACCATTTCAACTGAAGCCGCCCAAATTATTCAGCTTGAGGCTGACACTCAAAAGTCAATCCAAATGTTTTAAATCTGGCAAAGGTACCAGCATTTAAGAAGAGGATCTCATACCAGTAAGCACTTGGCAACCTGAGCTAGAGGCATCCTTTTTTGCCAGTCATAACCACTGCCTTGGCCAGCTGCAAGCGGCTGTTTCTGAGCAGTGGCTGCTCAGCTCTGCACTGTTGGCTGCACTTCAGTGCCAGGTGACACAGCCTCTATGCTCTGCTCTGACTAGAGCAGCACTGATTACACTTATCAGAAAAAAAAACTTCCTTCACTAACAGCAAAAATTAATGTCTCACCCAAGCTGCTGGGAGCTCTGTGCTTACCAATATTGAGAGTAAAGCTAAGAATCATTAGAAAGTCTGATGTGCAATAGGAGCTGCATGGTCTCTGGTGTGATCTTCTGTTTAAATAGAGCTACAAACCCTTCTTTCAGAATTCATTTGCCTTAACAAAGAGGAAAAAAATTCACCAGATTGATGCATAGTATTTTTGTGACTACACACAAATTTAGGAAATCCCTTCTGTGGAGGCTTCAACAAGAACATACATCTAAATGAGGAAGCTGTAAGCAGCACTGTTTATAGGAAAATAAAAGTTCTCAAAAGGTTTGCCGTACCTTCCTAGCAGTCATCTGTTTTTAATCATTACCATATTAAAATACTGAGCAGGAAATATCATTACAATACCTTTTAAATTGAACATGGAAAGAAAGAAATGGAATGAATTTGTTATTTGCAGATTTCCTCTGTGAAAAATACTGCTTGGCCAGATTACACTGCACACATAAAAGGAACGCTGAAAAATTAGCTTGACACTGGAATGCAAGGTGGAGAATAAAAAAATATGCAGGAAAGGAATTTTGTCCAGTAATTAAGAGTAGTGGATTGTAACAAGATTCCTGGAGACTGGCACTCCTTGCATAAATCTCTTGAACAAGCACTTTCAAACAAGGGGATCTCGAGTTGATTTACCCTGTCTGGATTCATTTTGGATCACTGCACACCTGCTGAAGCAGCCCTACAGCAGAGTTCACAAGGGGAGCTGTCAGGAATGATCTTTCAGTGCTGCCGGAAGCTCTCTTCTCCCCCAAAGCTGAGCAGAACCAGCTCTTACAAGTGTTGTGCTCCCAATTTGGTCTCCTGTGGTTCACTGAATGAATGCACTGACGGGATGCCCACATGAAACCACCATGGGAAGTTTTGGCATTTAAAGAGCGCAGGAAGAAAATGATTCGAAGGGAGGCTGAATTGAAATCAGAACTCAGGAGGCCTTCCCAATGGCCTTGGCACACACTGATCGCCCCATCACAGATCATCGTATTTGATAGGGGATTATAATTTTTGACACATAACTTAAAATATAGAACTGTCAGGGGCAGGAGTTCCTACCTCATGTTTTAAATTATCAAGAAAAAGAGCCTCTCTATGATTTCATCATACAAGCAAGAAACAATGAGCACATGAGTTTTCTTGGGTATTTTGATAGCAGCTGGGATGCTCACCTGTGTTAAGTAAGACACAATTTTTCCAGCTTCACATACTTGAGTTTCATGCTCTTATCTTTCTAACTGAAGAACTGTAATTTTTCTCAAATCAGTTACATTGTTTGGATTAAGCCTAACAGGGCCCTTCTGATTTTTTAATGTGTTTTCCATGCTATAAACAACAACAAACAAACCTTCCAAAAATGGCTTACATACAGCTGATTGAGGATTAATCTTTCATGGTAAGCTAAATAAACAACAAAAAAAAATCATCTTGTTTTGTCATTCCAAAATTGCAAAAGCATTTTTGAATTTTAGAACTTGAATTGTCAGCTAAAAATAAGGATAATTAAATTATTTTGTGCAGTTTGTCACTTTGTTGATGCTTTTGGCAAATTTTTGCACTTCCAGAATACTTAGCATTTAGTTCAATGACATAAGCATCACATATGAATTCCTATAAGTGCTTTTAGCTAATTTCTACATATAGAGAGCTTCCTTACAGGCTTGAAATAGAACAAAAATGTGGTTTTTTTAAGGGAATGAAATGCAGAGGATGTATTTGGACTCTCAAGACTTCCTAGGATGTTTCATTCACAATGTGAAGATGGAGGAGGGTAGTTTACGCAGTTTTGGCAATGTATGGAACAATCCATCCAGTACCACTGTTTTAGATGTCTGGATTGCAAAGATAAACACACTACAACACCCTCCATCCCAGCTCTAGTCACAGAGCCTTTTGGCTCAGTAGGATCCAGCTGCTTCACAATGAATGGTTTTTATGCTCCTCATCAATAAACTAGCTCAGTTGTTTTTCAGTTGTCAATTCTTCTTTAAGGTAGGGGAGACAGCGAATACCCAAGTGTGTAGCACCATGTGGCGCTGAGTAATGACTGCAGCTGGCACAGCCCAAACCAAGGATTTCTGTGGCGTATATTTTAGCTGATCATGGAAATCTATCCATATGTGTAGGAGCTCTGACCATCTGCACAGGAAGGTGAGTTATGTAACTTCCTCAGTGTTTTAATCAGAAAGGCAGCAGAGAGTTTTCATTTTAAAGGCAAAGCAATCATTAGGAGCTTTCCCTCTTGCATTGGGACACTGTGAGAGCAAACACTACTTGGGAACACCATGGGTTGAGGGTGCAGTGAAGCACAGCAGGAACACATCAGAACCCACACAGGCTCTGCACACCCAGTGGGAATATCACTGAGAATGGAACCGTGGCTACAGCCCTGAGTTAAAACCACAGAGAGCATGCAGGTCTTGCAAACCAGAAAGAGAAACAAACAGTAAGGCATTTACCTTCCACATCAAGGCACCTAGGTGGGCTATCTGACCAGATAAGGTTATACATGCACTCAAGGATCTCTGCCCCTTCTAGTTTATATCCAGGAAAGCACTGATAATACACCACTGTTCCTACGGGGAAGGAGGCCCCGAACTCAGAAATGTTAATGTAACTATGAGGAAGAACCAACGGCCTCAGGCAACCTGCAAATTAAGAAGAGGGAGGTTTCTTTTATTATCAAGTGCTTATCTCAGTCATCTTCACACATCTCAGTTACTGTTTCTAAATTGAGGAGTGTGATTTTTCATCCTCTCCACTATGAATGGCATGTCTGCATGATCTCTCTCAGATAGATCTGCCTCATTATCCTGTTTCAAACCCTTTTGTTGTTTAGCCCACATGCTTTGCTAGCGTGGGCTTCACTCCCAACAAATCCAGGAAAGGTTTTCCGAAACCGACAGTATTGTGTTTAACAAACATTTACCATTTCAGCAGATGGCAATCTCTTTTTGAGGTAGAATCTTTAATAAATAAAGATTTTCATTTATATAAATGGTGAGTTTTATTCCTCCTCCTAAAAAATGACAGGTATGTAAACCCTCTTACATATTAAAACTGCTTCTGTGACAAAGTGTACACAACTGTAAAAGATTTGCAGGCAGAATTCATGACTTTGAAATTCTAGTCATGAATTGAGAAAGTCTAAAGGGACATGACTTCCTAGGAGCAGTCCCATGATAAATACTGAGCGAGGTCTTAGACTAGGTTATCAAAAATTTAAGGTATCTGTTATCATCATAATTTGTAAATGTAGTCAGAATCAGATAATATGTTCCAGTGCTACTTCTGGAATTACTCCTGAGGGATTTGTACCATGGCTGGTACTGAGCAGCGACAGTTAAATGGTCACCAACCAAAATTTGGGGCAACAAAGAGCAGTGAATTTAACAGATAGCATGTCTTTATAACATGTCATTCCTCATGACCCTAGAAATGACCCTCTGGGTAATGCCTGACAATGTTTGATTTTTTAATTTGCAATAATGTGGAGAAAAGATAACTAGTAATCATGGAATGACAAATAATATTTTAGAATTATGTGACTAATGGAAGCTGCATTATGGCTGTCCATAAATGGGTATCTTGCCACTACTAGGAATTTGTGAAGGACGTTCATAGGACTTCCATAATTTTCAGCTAGAGGAGGAAACAAAAATCAGTCTGAGAACTGCTTGTAAGGTACTGGAATTTAAAACAAAAAGCCTAAGCAGCATTTCAAGCAGCCATTTCCTTGCAACAGTCTTTTAAGGGAGAGGAACAAAACCAAAAGAAAATAAAAGAAAAAGCTTGAAAGCTTTTTGCAGCATGCTGTACCACCAGAGCAACAATTTCAATAGCTGTTGAAGCAGCTGGTTATGTCCCTCTCAAATAAAGCTTCAAGCATCCTATCTGCTGGCTGCTACTTCTACCCTGATCAAGAATGCCCCACATACACCACACTCATTCCTGCAAACTGAGCAGCACATTGAGCAGGACAACATAAGCAGCCCCCAGTGGGACAGAAAGAGCACAGACTGCCCAAACAAGATCAAGCTTACTCTTCTTTGTACTGTATCAAGGAAAATTTGGTCCTGCTGGCTCAGAATTTTAATGCTCATTATGTTCCTGGTCATGCAGGACAGAGATTTATTTGAATTTGTATGACAGCCAAGCATTTGTGAAAATTCCTAGGTCTTCAAACACTGCTTGAAAAACTCCATTTTGACATTATTTTGCTAAGTAACATCATCCAGACCAGTAATTAATATCATTATCTCATAGCAAAAATAGAGGTTAGATTCTTATATACTCCACAATCCTTCCCCACTCCTCTGGCAAGGAAAAACGGCATCTTACTGTCAAAAGACTCCCCTGCCTTCTGTAATGAAAGGGCCATAGAAATGTAACTGACAGTCTACCTAGAGGAAGAAGACAAGTGACTTTGATCTTACCAGTGCCTGACATGTCAAAAAGAAAATTCTGGAATTCTGCAGTAACTTTATGGAATTTGGCAAAATATGGCAGGGTCTTGAATCTGAATTGCCTATTCTCTGCCTACCCGGTAATCACAGCAGATGGGTCTTGTGAAATTGATTTCTTAACTTTTATTAGCACCGCTTTTATTTTGAAAAGCAGTTAATATTGACTATTAAGTAGGAGTAATTGATTGTGTTTCACAGTATAAACACAGCAACAGAAGTAACAAGACAAGGGGTATTTGGGGTACTGCTATTAACTCAGTAAATATTACCTGTCAAAAAGTTTGCCCCTGGATCTTTGGCAAATACAGCATCTGCAAATCAATCTGTTAAGCATTCATCTCCCCCTGCTGCAAAAATTTTAATCTACTTAAGTTAGATGTGAGGTGCACCCCCACAGAAAGGGGCTGTACACTTCATACTGCCACACGTGATGCTATCGCTGATAAGACACACCAAAACTGGCGCCTGCTTTGCTATGGTTTTGCAAAATCTCCCCTGTGTGGATCTAAAATGGTGACCTAGCCTGGTAATATGTTTAAGTTTCTGCCCCAATGGAGGGCAGGATCTTGGGCGACAGTCTGATGTGCTACTGCTCCTGAGAAATGTCCCAGCTCACCTGCCTGCCTGCTCTGACTCTGCAAATTGGTGTGACAGTAAAATTAAGTGCCTACAGAGAAGTGTTAGCTCTATGAGAGGACAGATGGCTTTGAAGAAAGTTGGGACTAACCCATTCTGCTCCTCAGTTAAAATCTCTTGCTGCTGTTCAGTGGGCCAAGCTTGTTACCAAGACGTGACTTGCTTAAAACAGAATCAGTGGTACTCAGATATGCTTATTAGAAATATGAAGGGAAAGGGAGCCCAGAGTTACTGAATTTCCATTCACTAAAGCTGGCTTACCCCCAGCCATTTCTCACAGTCTAAGCTGAGCTGGGATCCCATGCTGTTGATATTTCTTGTTCTATGGCTAATGGCTTTTCTGGCCAAAATCATCCCTGTGCACACGCTGAATTTTCAGTCAATACGTAAAGGTTTAATGGACTGTGAATCTAATCAACAGCTCTGCTGAAAACTCTGACAGGAGAACAGGTACCAGTTTCTCTCCTCTACCTTCGCCTTCTACACAAGGTAAAGGAACATAAAGTGCAGTTAGAAGCTTAAATATTTACACAAATTAATTGGTGAAAAAATGCAAGACACCCATCAGAACTTCTGACTGATTATCTTGATTGTTTTTTACTTTTTGATGCAGTGTATCTGTGTCAGATTTGAGATTTGCAAACAAAAAAGCAGTATTTAAAGTAGTATTATAAGCATGGGAATGGTCAGGGAGCGATATCTTTCCTGCAGAGAGCAAAGGGGAAGAGAAATCAAAAAATCTTAGCATCAGTACTACTCAAACACTGCACTGTGGAACTTATCAGATCACTTAAATTCTTACAACTGTAGGAAAAAATATTGGCAAACTATGACAAGATGTATGAGCTATAAAATGGGATGTGCTGGAGTACTAAACCTTGACATATGGGTAGATTATCCCATGTTCCATCATCTTGGCATATGGAAACCATGTTGTCTAAGTCAGGGTAACGGATCTGGAATCCTTCATGACAGCTGATTATTAACTTATCGCCAGTCCTGTATGTCTTGTTATGAACCTCTGCATCTTCAACATGTGGAACAAGGCAATCTGTGACTTCACGAGAAAAAGAATTAGTAACTTAATTAAAAAACACAGCTAGCTGTTTAGTAATCAAGCTCTTAAAAAGAAGTAAGCATTTAATATAAGTGCTCTGCTTAAACGGTTTGGAAAATACATGCATTTCAGTAAAAGTGCCTTTTCCCTAGTAAACCATCACTTTACCAAGTCTATAGCACGGTAGGAGAAGCTGAGGTGCTACAATAATGGATCGTTCCCCCAGCCTTTTAAAAACTAACAAAATTAGGAGCCTTTAGGAAGGCTGTGGTTTATTTTGGTCCTCCATTCATCATGTGTGCAATTACACCCCAAAGTCTGACTATCCCAAGGTTCCATGCAAAGGCAGACTCTGACAGCACTAAGGACAGGACAAAAGAAAAGATAAAATACAGATATGGCATGAGGAACAGAAAAGCTGCAGTTTTAGCAGACAGATGAAAATCGGGTACATTTACAAGGGTTTATCCAGCTCCATTCCAGAGTTTATTATGAGAACGCCTTCACTTTAATTTCCTTGATTATGTTTTAAACCAGATGGTTTTGTGTGGCTGCATTCATATGCCTTTAGAGGACATGATTTTTAGGGTCCTAAGCAGCATCTTGAGTGCTTGTAGAATACTCTCAAGAAGGGACTGCAAACCTGAAGTGATATACAGGGATGGGCCCTAGTACCTGTCTGTGACACATGCATCAGACAGTCACAGATTTCACTCTAGGTACTAGTGCCAAAGACATCAAAATACAGAATGAAACTCAGAACACTTAAAGATGTACAAAGTGGAAAGGGGAAGCAGGGGGAAAATCCCCTAGTAATACCGAATAATTGAGAAAAAAGACAAGAGGGTCTGAGGGAATAATCTGGGTGACTCAAAGTTCATCCTCATCACAAAGGCAAAGTGAGATGAAACGAGATGAAACAGAAGACAGGGAAAGATTAAATATTGGGAGTAGATTTTTGTCTGCCAGCAGTCAATCCATGACAGAGATGGTAATAAAAGTTTCCAGGCATCAAAACCCAAGAAGTATATCAAACACAAGAAAGACAGAAAAATGTTATAAGCCTGTGTTACTCTGTTTTATTCCCCCAACACCTCTACCATGAGAGACAATTATATTAATTTAGGAATACTGTATTTATTAAGGAAAAAAAACCCCTTGAGACTTGCACAGAAGAGAAAGTTTCTGCCATTTTCATGGGTAATTCTTGCTAAAGAGGAAGAAGCAAAGCTAAATCTGTATTTAGTACCTAATTGTTAGTATGCACTAAGCAAAGTGATAGTGACAGCTTGTTTGTTTCAAAGCACAAGTAGAAGGAAGATAAACTGTCATTTAGCAGAGGACTCACAAACTACTAAGAGCAAATGTATTTCATAATGTTTTTATTTAGTTAGGCAAACTGAGATTCCATCACTATATTTTACTAACCTGAAGGAGGACAGTGTTCCTCCTACAGTTAAAACATACTTTGTACCTTCACATCACAAGGATGTTTCTAAAATTCATTGTACTTAGCTAATTTTTTGGTATGGGGCCTGAGCACATTATTAGTTAACAATTCTTCCACTTCTCTTATTACTTTTTAGCTTCTTGGCAGTTGCTGTAGGTGCCTCCTGCTGCTGGTAGCAGGAAGGGCTGGCAGCCTGCCAGGCAGGGTGAGAAACTGCAGCAAGAAGTTTTCTTAGAATTTATTTATTTATAAATGCACAAGTCTGGGAGGATCCATGCCCTAACTAGAGGTTGTAAAATACACTGGCGAGGGTGCACACATTACTTTCAAAGACAGAACAGTTTTCTCTCTCACTATAAAGTTAATCAGCAGAGAAGACAGCAGAGGATGCCTTAGAAGAAATGCCTTGCGCTAAGCCATAAATGCTGTCATGAAGAGGCTGTCCTGGGCACCCCACAAGGATGGGATGAAATAGATGGAGTACCTGCTTGGCAGCCACGCAGTAGGAGACTGGAGATGGATGCCAGAAGATAACGTCAGTGAACAGCTCCCTCTCTTTCTACAATGTCTTTCTGTTGCTATACAAATAAAGATGGTGTGTGTACACACAGCACATTAAAACATGAGATTTCCCTTTCAAAGTGGGGGAAATGGATTCTGTAACAATGATCTATCACAGCAACTCCATCCCTATTATTCCAAGGAACAGCTGTAGATGAGATCACTTTAACCGGGTAGATGTTGGCAGAGAACGGAGATAAGTTGCTCACTGCACTGTCCTCCACCTGCCACATCCTGGCTGACTTTGATTATTACTTTATTATTACAAGCCCCAGCTAAACACCAGACCAATGGACCACAATATTACAGCTCTTTTTCCTGATGCCTTGCAAGCAAATGCTTTCCCACTGGTTGAATTCATATTTAGCAGTGAGGCATAACCTGCAGTATCCACCTCCCACGAACAACTGGATTAGCTGGCACAAATTCTGCTTGGAAAAGCTACAAGGAAGTGACTGAATTTTAAAATGTCCTGTCCTAAAAAATAAACTACTTTATTCTAAGTCCTTCTCAGCAAATCTGTGGAAGCTGGTAAACCATTTAAGGGAATATATAGTCTTTAACCAGCATTGAGCAGCAAAGGCTATGACTTACATTCTTTTCTGGCAGTTTTACATCATCTGCTTAAATCTACTGTGTGAGTATTTAAATACGCCAGCCAAAAGGACACATTTCTTATCTTGCAGGAGCAGAAAGAGGTGGGGTAGAGCCAACAGGCTTAAGAGCCTGACAGGGACAAGAGCTCACCTTGCCCTAACTTTCATGAAGATTTGTACATTAGGAACTCTTGGCTTTAGCAAAGCAAGTGTGTTCCCCACCACAGAAGATTGGTCGGAAGAATAAAATTTGTTAAACAATATAGTTAGAGTATTTTGCTCAGGTACAAACCATGCAGAACCTCTCAGAACTGTTCCTTCCACCCCATGGGGAAGAAAGATCACCCTACCTCCTCCCAAGAGTACTTGGACCACAATAGCAACTGAGAAGGAAGGCATGACCTAGACAGCATGGAGATAGCCACATCATCCATGAGTACCAGCTGGCCTGGGAAGGCTTGTATCTATTGCAAGTGAGCCCTTACCATCCAAAAATTATCCCTGGTCCATGCTAATCCAAGAAGGTGCTTGCAGGATTTACTTGGGAGTACTGCCCAAAGTACATCCCTTTGGAGATGCTGGTCCAAACCACGTCAAGGACCTTTACAACACTGTAAGAGTGTGCACAATTGAAGAACTGCCCAATGCCTGCTCTGGCACTGTTTTGTTTGCTACCCGTATGTAAATTCAAATGCAGAGGTCTGGTGCTCCTGTGTATCTTACTGTTGACAAGTCTCTGAATTAGCCTTGACTACATTGAGTCACACCACTGTCAGGCTGGAACAGAAAGAAACAGGGAGGAAGGATGAAAGGAATATCACAAAGAATTGGTTTGATGCAGGGACAGCTCATCTACATTCTGTTCTCTTCAAAGTAAGCATTTAAGAGCAATATTGTCCCTTGGTTTTTTTACTAGTGTTAAATCCATAGTACTGTGTTACTAGGATTGTTCTGTGGATGGCAAACACAGTGTTTTAGTGCATATTAAATAACCGTTTCTTTTTATTGTCTTTGCTGGTATTTCAACAATGCAGAGAGATTTCACCTGTGGCCATTGAGCTGTGGCCTGGTTACAAATGTCACAGAGTGCTCATAATCAGGGTTAAGAATGAGCAAACACTGGGCAAGACAGATAAGAGATGGAAAAATAAAAATACTTCAGTCATCTCATAGACTCAGGGACAAAGGCAAAGCAAATGGAGGGCTAAATGTCCTACAGGAAAGCTGTAGCCAAACCATGTACTAGCCTACTACTTTCACTGCAGCTTTATCATCCTTGTCAGTGGGAGAATGAGGCACTGAGAACATCTCCAAGGTGTCTGCCTGCAGAAGCACGGGGAGAGGAGGACACAGTTCTTTGCTTCGTTGCCATCTTCATGCAGACTGTAAATTTAGATTCAATCTCACAGGAAAGAGCTAGCATTTGTTCCAAGTAGGGCAACAGCCTCAGCAGCCACATTATCACAGTGGGAGAAAATTAGATTAAAGTGTGAACAACATGACATACTGCTCTTAAACAGTAAATACAAAATTCCTACCTCAGAGGTTTGGTATTTTTGTGCATAACTGTATTAGAGCTGATGAAAGGTACAGTCATACCATGCTGTAGATCAACATAAGAACGTAACTCTAAGCATGCAGATTTTTGACAGGGCATTTATTGGGCACCAAGTCATGCAACTTCATTCTCGTCCTCATACTTAGAATCTCCTGCCTCTTAACAAGACATGACAGACCTATAAAATCAAATAGATTGGGTGAAGAGCTCTAGGCAAATGTATTAGATTTAAAATCAGTTACATTCTGAAACAGGTTGCTTTGCTTCCTTTGGTAAATAGCATCCATTTGTGATTAGAAATTGTGCTACTAAACACATAACAACAATTAAACGCACATAACATATAGACATAAAATTATCCTTCTCTGAATTCAAACTCCTGAGAGTAAATGAACTCCAAAGTACAGTGTTTTCAGTGTTCAAGCTCAGCTGGCACTGCCTGACATTGAAATATGCTGGGATGAGAGGTGTGTAGAGTGTACCATAGCCCACGGAGCAGCCAGCCCCCGCCATAAATGGTAAGTGCAGCATAAAGTTTATTTCACCTTGTGATAGGCAATGATGAATGGGAAAACATCAACTTCTCCCTTCTCCAGCAGTTGCTAGAAATTTCAAATTTCTTTCTATATATCATTACAGAACTTCTGCAATGAAAACTTTTATGTATGTCATTAGACAGCTGAGAATCACAAACCCTGTTGTAATTCTCTCTTAACTCATATCCAGATGTGCCATGTTCCTACACTGTGCTCCTCTCTACCACGGCCCTCTCTCAATATTCTGCTCCCAGTGTGCAAAAGGATCAGTCTAAAAATCACTTAAGCCAGTGCCTAGGCCTCATGGACTGCCACTGAGCCTTTGCTTAGTATTTCTTCTGAATCAGTGCTGCTATTGCGCAATGGAAAGAAGAATTAATGCTGTAATCTAATACCTGAGGTATTATAATAATGTTAATCAGGGAAGTACTTAAGCACTTGATTCACTAAATCCTAAATCAGGGTCCTACTCTTTTGTCCAAGTAATAAGAAGCATTTTTGCATCTGCCTATTTTGAGCAAAGAACTTTACAAGACTAATCACATAATTACAGTTATGCTCCAGCTTAAGTGTTTTGCTTGATCAGTGCATTGGCTAGCAATCTTTTTTAAGTGTTCTATGCTGGAAAGTAATTATTATCTCTAAAGCAACTGTTGCCACATCATCCATCACATTCTCATCTTCCAATTTCTTTCTTTTTTGAAAACACCTGGTTCGAGTGTTGATCACACTGACATAAGTGACAGTTTTGTTGCTGATGGCATTGTGATCAGAAACTTCCTCCACAGAATTACACTGGGATGGAGGGAAGAGGTTTGAATATATTGAATAATGCTTATTTTAACAACTGCAGTGGATGATACAGGCAACATTTCAAAGATTCACATCAACATTCCTAGCTTCCTGCTGTGCTTAAAGAAACAGAATTTCCAACCATTAAAGCTTTTTCTGGTAGTTCCAATAGCCAATTTAGACACAGGCTGCTGTCACGCTATATTTTTTCTTAAATAACCATGACATGAGACAAACAAGGTCATTTATGAAAAGTGGCTGTCACAGAAGAGGTCACGATTTTCATACATAGTTATTTTTAAAGGCATCAGGTTATTTTTTTAAAGCTGACCCATGTGGCCATATGATGAGGTGCTGTTGGCACCCCTTTGCCTTTATTTCTAGACATCAGCTGTCACCTGATGAAACAGCTCACGACTGTGTCCCTCATGGCTCTGTAGCCCATGGCCTCACACTTGTCCAGGAGAACATACTTAACCAAAATTTCTCCTGCCAACCAGCCAGCTGCCTGAAAGTCCATGCACTCCTTACCAGCTGCCTCTGGCTATTCTCTCCATTATCTCATGCATTACTTTCACACTGGCCACTGTTTAGGGTTGTTCCCTTCACATGCATCTCCTGAGTGTGGTCTTCCCAGGCCGTGCTTGTCCCTGTCATGTCTCTCATCCCCGTCCTGGCACAGGATTCTCACACCTACCCCCCAGGATCACAAACAAGTACCTGCAGTTTTTATAAAGGCTAAGTGATGCATGATCCTATTAGTAAGTGTGTTTGTGAGTTACATAAGTCTTCAACTACCTCTGAATAAAGTCCATGTATTTATTTTAAATGGTGAAAGGTAACCTGAAGTAGAATTTATCTTGCTCCAGCATGAAGACAATGAGGCAATGACTAATGTCTTCAGTGGAGAACTCACAACACTAAAATGTAAACACTTTATTTAACCAACACTTTTCATGTCTGTTGACTTTAATAGCTCTGTTGACCAAAAATAAATCAACAACAAGGACACGTTATATCTTTAATATACTTGGGGAAATAAATAATTTGTGCTGCTTGGGTGTACTTTGGCCAAAATTTACAGTTATAAAATCAAATCAATCCTGCCTCTAAGACATAGAAGAAGAAAGCAATGAAACATCCTAAGTATTTAAAACCAAATACAATTTCAAATATACAATAAACTGGTTATGCCATAATAGTCTGAATTATCTCAGAGTCAACTTCTACCCTGGCTTTAAACTTTTGCAGCCTCTGTGTATTCGATTTTGCTACTTGACTCATGCATACATCACCCAATACTATTGTTTAAAATTCCTGATTAGCAGGAGCAGTAGCATTGGAAACTGATTGGATTTTTCTAGGAAAATATTGCAGAAAGGAATATTAAGTGGGCAGCTTTAATAAATAGTTACATGTTAACTTACAATGGAGGTTGTTTTTCCTCTCTGCATCAACTTGTAGCTAGTTAAAAAGGGAAGTTAAATTCTATTTTCACATTTCTTTATGTTCCTTTCAATACACACAGCCTCTCGTGGTACAAATTTAACTGACAAAGGAGAATTAGGGATGGAAAATTAAAGTATGTATCCAACAAGACACAGTGAAATGGACTCCAGCCTGTTGTGCTTTGTCCAGAGACAGACAGACATGGTACATGGACAAGTGAGAAGAACAGATTTGGTGAACACCTTGAAGAAAACTAACTTACCTTCTTGTAGGCACACAGGTTTATCACTGGGTTTCCAGCTCAGGGAGCCATTAAAGTGTCTCACACAAAGTTTTTTGGAAGTACCATTGAGCCTATATCCTTCTTGGCAATGGAACCGGACCACCACACTTTCAAAGAAAACACCTGCACTGGGCGTCTTGTAGCCATGCTCAGGAGCCCCAGGATCAGCACATGCTTGCAGGTCATCAAACCCTGTGTCAGACAAAGATACAATCCAACTGTGCTCATTTACTTCTCATGCTTTTTCTGTCTTTATCCATTATCTTCACAAGGACCTTGTACCTTCCATATTGACCACTAGCAACCCTGTTTGGGTACCAGGTACTCCAGGGTTGGAGACGACCCACCCCCAGCTGAAATGCTCAGGCGACAGAAGTACTCCTATCTTTTCATGCAGCAAGTAGCTGCATGAAGCAAAAGTCAACAACACTCCTTGGTAGCTGCCCTGGATAAAAATAAAGCACTTGACCCAGCCTACCAGTGGGGATTGCTCAGTAATGTGTCTGTAATCACTTCTGGGGGCTATGGGAATTTGGAGGCCTCATGCAGTCACTAGTAAGAAAAATAATGTGTCAGAACCAGAGAGGAAGAGGAAATAAGGGGGCATGAAACTTTGCCATCCAAAGACACAGTAATTGAAATAGGAGAATTGCTAAGTACAGTGAGATTTCAATATGGGAGAGAGATCTGCCACAGGGGAAAGGGACACTGTGATGTTAGATGAACGCGACCCTCTTATCTCTTTGGCTTGGTGGCCCTACCACACTTTCCACACATTGTTATGGGAGTGCTGTATTACACCATTGACACCAGAAGGGAATTTGTAAAGTCCTCTACCTCTACAAAATTAACTGTAAAATAACAAACTAAACCCCAATAGTTGCAATCAATAAATGTGATTGTTTATCACTTTCTCAAACTCATTTCAATGCCATTTGCATAAGAGGAAGCTTTCTTTACTGCAAAGCAGCAAAGGTTTAGTGCAGCAGTGAACAAGGGCTGCATACAGAAAGAGCAAATTGCTTTGGAACAGGAACAGGAGGGGGGCAATTAATGCTGACGGGAGGGATGCCTGGAAAGTGTGAAAATCATTGGATCGTAATTTTAATGTTTTGATTTTTAAAAGAATTGTATCAGAAGCCTCAGCTACTTCCTGCATAATAAGAATCAGATGCCTCCACGGTGCAGTCAGAGAGAAGGAAGATATTACAGTAAAGGACTTTTTGAAATAAATCTCCATTTCCCGAAGCTAAATCATTCCCTCTGCCAAGGGCTCATTGTGACGCTGTGGCAGCCAAATGGAGAGCACTGAAGGTGATGAAGGGCTCTTGCATTTGAGCACTGAATATCTCTGCTCAGTCACCTGGCTGACAGCTGCTAGTGAAGAAGCAGGAGGCCTACATCAAGCCACTTGTGTCCTATGTCCCATCACCTGTTTCTGTGAGCAGAGGCAGGACACACTGTGGAGTCACCAGGGTGGATTGCACATTCCTGGATTTCCAGGTCCTGTGCTGAACTCCCCAACCAGGCTATAATTCCCAGGAGGTGATGTGATGGACAGAACCCAGCCCAAATTCCATGACCAACAGCCACCCTGCGCCCTTCTGCAGTGCTCCAACACCTCTCCACTTCCCCAGCATCCCCTCTCCTGGCTGAAACAGCACAAGCGCAGCAAAGCAGCTGCTCTTGCGCAGCTTCACTCCTCCTCCAGTGCAGTTCATCCTGGGAATTGAAGCATCAGTGCAGTGGCCAAGTCAAGCACATCCCTGAATTCCACCCACGCCTGGCTCATCTGCCTCAGCTCAAGTCCTCCAGTGTAAATCACCCCAGACTCTGTAATTTGCCAATGGGATGAACAAGGAGAAGCACAGTCATTATGATCATGGGATTACATGCTGTAGGCAATACTTATTAACAGAGAAACGCTGCCCATTTTTACTGGAGATTAAAAAGAAGCTTCTTATGCTCCAGACAGCAAGCCCACATCCTTCAATAATGTCAGTGAAGATCTTAATTATTTCCCATTAAACCAAGGGATAACATGACATTTAGATCAATTTTGTTACTTCAGTAATCTCAGAATTTGCAGTCAGGTGAGGAATACTGTAACTCGCCTTGAGATATATGTCCTTTCTCACTGCTGCCTACTACTTTGCCTCTGCAACAACACAGGAAAAGGAAAGGTGCTGAGGTCACACACAATTTGCCTGGTAAAAAAAATGAGCCAAGCTCATTTCTCAGTTTTCAAAAAGTCAAATATGCAAAGTTAGAGATTTTTACACTTGTCAGCACAAAACCAAACATGGAAGGCAAAAATGTTTTCTTCCCTAGAGCAGGCTAATTTTGTGACCCTACTGCCACTTTTCTGGTGACCCTCCACAAAGATTTCCATTCTTCCTTGGAATCCTTTTGCAGTGTGTGGGTCTCTCAGGTTCTTTTTGTTGAGTGCGGTTAGCAAGCAGACAAATCTATCAATCCCCAAAGGGAATTCCCAAGTAGAAACTGGAACACGAATGGGAAAATTGAATTATGCACCCTCTGGTTTCTACAGAGCCAGTAGCCAGCTGTTACTCAGTTACTGCATAATAGATGACACACGGACTCAGCAGAGGATCACCGCTTCCTGGCTTGTTCCTGAAGCAAGGAAGAAGGAAAAAGCCTCAGGGAAGAGCCAATTAGGCAGATGGCACACACAATACAGTAGCATCTCATGGTAAAGCCATGAAGGCAAAGCAAATAAATCCCTAACCCCATCTTAGCTCCACAGATAGGAACAGTAGACGCAGTTCAAATCAAAGTCCTGCTGGAAACAGTGGAAGGCACCTGGATGTCAAGCTTCTTATGAAAGTGTAGATGATCCAGGCACAAAGCAGAGAAGGCAGGGCTGTGCTGGGGCTGGGAAGAAGGAGGTATGAGGAAGGTATGGGAAGGCTGCCCCTGTGCTGAGGATCTCACAGTGCACAACAGGCACTGCAGGTGTTCCAAAGGGGCAATTGCCACCAGAGAATTCCAGAGAAGCCAGGAACTGCTCTGATTTTCACCAGGCCTGCTCCTCTCTTGCACAAGAGCTGTGGTGAAGTTTCAACAGCTTATTTCCACCAGTCTTTTCTAATTTAAGTATAAACTTTCTGGTACAGTATTCAAGAACAATAATGCTCAAACATCCCTGAGAATTGCCATCTTCCATTTCTTCTTAATAATAGCAGAATTAGACCCTTTACATAATAATCCTATCCATACAATCTCATCTAGTTAAGCTCCACCCTATAAAAAAATTAAATATATGTCTTCAATGACATATATTGGTAAATTTTTTTTCTCACAATCTTTGTTTTCTTTTCTTTTTCCAAACTATGCATTTAAGAGCAGCTACTCCAAGTTGTGACACAGTAATTTTCTAATGGTAGCAGTAATCCTATATAATAGATGAGGTGCTATAGCCATCTTATGGTCTAATCCCTTTAGAACTTGATGAAAAAAGCCAAAAATCTGCTCAGCCGGAGCCATCATATAGGTCTTTGGAAGAGAAAGCCAGTCTTTCAGCTATAATAAAAAGCTGCTATCCATTAGGTAAAAGGTATATCAGATAAGATAGAAAGTAACTCAGAACTACAATGGCTTCTGTTTCTTGACAAACCCTTCAATAAGTCTTTGGGGAAAAGATTACTGGACTTTTTCTCATGGTTAAAAGGAGGGAAGGGGAAATCATCATCACTACCTACTAGTAAAAATTATACAACACACTTCTTAAATAAAGAAGTAAACTTTCATGTTGCCTATATACTAAAAATTTAGTAAGGCCAGCAGCCATCATAATCAATGCGACATCATTAGCAGCAACTCTATGGAATGCTATTGCATGGCTTTATATCCCTAAAGTAAACACTACACAATTACTGCTGGAACTGACTATTTCAGTAATCAAAATAGGTTAATATTTGGTCCAAGTTGCAGACTTTCTGTATCACAGTACATTTAAGGGATATTGTGTAAAATTTCATGGACAATAATGTATTCTTGGCAAGGTTAATGAGTACATAAGGTCATCATCATCAACAAAGCATGCAGCTGATACAGAATATATTTTGGGGTTGGTATTTACCAATTTACCACTTTTCTACTCTTGGACCAACCAGAAAATAGCAATGCTCTTGATTTGGATAACCCTCAAGCAGATTATATGGTACTTACTTTACCTAAATTTCTTGGTATTGTCAGTCAGGTAAAATAACGTAAAATTAATGAGAAGACTGAAAAAATGAGCAATGTCCTCCTTGGGGTATAAAATGAACCATTGTAAATAACTTGATCAGATTGCTCCAAGAATTCTGCATTGTACATTCTCAAACTTAAAATTATTCATCTCATCCCCAGTGAAAAGCCTGAAATGTTGGAATCCAGGGGAACATTACATATGTGTGATGACAAGAAATCGTGACAGCCACAACTGAGCTTCAGACATGCTTAAAAAAAAGGCAGGAGGAAGAGCCCCTCAGTTCATCCCATAAATCTATTTTTCTCTGCTTCTTTTTCTCAGTTGCGTGTTTTGTTTTCCTTGTTTCCCCTCTTCTCTCACCTCTGTATCTTACAGCTCCTTGTAAATTCATGGTGCTGGCAAGGTGATTTCTAATCTAGATTTGATGGACTTCTTTGCCTCTAAAGCTGCTATAAAACATTTCACTGACACACTGCTGATCCATGTGAGCTCAGAACTGGCTTCACTCATTCTTAAACAGAGGCATCACTCTCATTCCATTTTGTTATATACACCCAGTGAATGAAAAGTGACATATAATGTGCAATAATATTCAAGACAGAGAGTATTTTCAGTGTTTGTCATCAGCAGGATGGAGAATGGGCTTCTTGTACATCAACATCTGCATTTGGGTTCACTAAATCTGTCTCAACCAGAAGCAGAGGGAAGCAGAGGCTTCACAGACTGTGGCAGGACCAGACTGCCTGCACACACATTTTAGAAGGAGTCTGTAAACACTGCAGGAGCAGGTTATCTTAGGCCAGCTCTCAATAAAAAGCCATTCTGGGACTAAAACAGAAGGGCCACAAGTGTAAACATGCCAAGGGCTTGCGTGTCTTGTACAAAGGAAAAGTTGTTTTCATCCCTTCAGGAGTTTCTGCCCTGTTTCTGTGAAAGCCACGCAGTCACAGCACTGTGTGCCTCTGGCTGTTTATGC